TAGCAAACATTTAATAAAATTTATTTATTTTAATTTTTCTTAATATAATATTGCTTATATATTGTGACAAAAATATTTTCCTCATGTCAAAATTAAAGGCTTTTTTTATAGAATCGATTCATTAAATATATAAATAGCTCAAAATCATCTTTCTATTTTTGAAAATTTTTCAAATTCTATTTTTCAATAATCATTAATTTGTAATCTTGCAAGGTAAATAATAATGATCTAACAAAACTATCAGTTCTTTTTATTTATTAAAATTATAATAATTTTATAATTTTGTTGTCGAAAATAATTCCAACTATTATTTGCAGTTAGGCTGCTTATCAAGATAAAACGAATGCTTAATATTTAATATCATCACAGTATTATTATTCTTTGAATTAGAGAGAGAGAAAATCAATTTGTTTATACTTTCCATCTTGAATTTGTATAAATTTTCTTTTTTTTGGGTTATTAAGAATTTCAACTAATTTTTGCCTTAGTTTAATCCTAAAAATAATTGATTAAATTTAATATAAAAGAGACATTAATTTTTTATTTTATTTTTCATAATTATCTCTGCTGTAGTTTATTAACTCTTTTAAGCTTTCTATAAATTTTTTTTGGCTTTTAAAAAACTGGTATGCAATCAAGAAATTTAATATTTCATCATCTGGTTCTATTATTTATTAATAAATAATTATTTTTTTAAATATAGTTTATATTTTCTAGTTATTTGGAAAATTTGATTCAATAATGATATAAACTCATTTTAATACTTATGAAGAAACTCTCATTCAAATATATCAAAAAAGTAATATTTATTTGCGCTAACCTGTGATAATAATTTTATTTTTCAATAGATTTCCCTAGTTGATGAGAATTTGTTTTTAGAAGAATTCAAAAATCTATTCCTTTATAATTTTATCTATTTGACCATGTAAAATTCTATGTATATCGTAATTTATGATTTTTAGTTCAGTAGAAATTTAATAATTTAAAGTGTTTATATGATTCTTCGAAAATATTGTGAAAGATAACTTTATTATTGTATCATAGGCCTAGTATTGACTTAAGAGCTATAGAGGAGTAGAATATCGTTAAATTTATTAATTTTATTGTTAAAATTCAGTTTCACTTATTTCCAACTAAAATTATTCCCTTATCATTAAAAAATAAATTTTCTTTAACAAAAACTATGAAAATTTTTTTCTTAACTAAATGCATTTTGATTACTTATGAAAATAAGAGCAAAGTAGTCCCTAAAAGTCTGTCATATTTTAGTCATATATTATCAAAAATAACCTAGAGAATAGAGAATTAATAAACCTAATTCTTTAATTCAGATAGAGTCTCTCATATAGATTAGTGATGCTTA